CTGCCAGCTTCCCACAAGCAAAGTCAATGGGGAAGCTGGCAGGAAGTCAGAAGTCACTCCCACCCCCATTGCTTTTTTGCCTGCTGCGGTCATTCTGTTTATCTGTTTAGGTAAGTAAATATTGACTTATTATTGAAATTTGTTTGCCACTACAATTATTTTTCTATTTATGATATATACCCTTATTAGATGATCAGGGGACCATCCAGCATTGGGGTAAAAAAAATATGGTCAACCTAAAATTTAATGTTTATTCTGGTCACATTGGACTGCACTATCTTACTCTCAGAGGATGACCCAATGGCTTACAGGGTTGTCTAGTTATATTTAAAACACTCTGAAACTAGTATCTTTGTATGTAGTATTCCCTGTCTTCAATCACATCAGAATATAGCCAGTTAGACAAAAACTGAATCAAAAGGAAGAGTAAAAATAGAAGCCAAAGAATTTAATATGAATTCTTAAGTATACTGAAAAAACAGGAAGAAACAGGGAAATCCATAAACCAAGAAACATGCTTTATAAGTGGGGGGGGGGTGAGAGTGGCAAAAGGAAGAAAGAAAGAGAGAGCACATGAGTAGAGATAAGCAACAAAACATCAAAAGTGAGATTTAGAAGACAGGTGCCAGAAAAATATGCTGCATAGAGTAATGGTAGAGAAAGGAAACAGTGGGCAACCAAAGAAAGTGAAAATCAAACCTTGTTCCTGATGGCTTATCAAGGACTGAAGTGCAATGGCAGCTTCCACTTTGACAGGCATTTCTTTGTCTTCAATCAAGCTCTTTTTTGTTAGCTCAACTGCATTCCTTAGATTGAGCTCATTGTGAAATTTTAAGGTGCTGAATGAACGAAGGGTCCAACAGGACTGCAGCACAAGAAAAAAGCAAATCAGACACTATTCAAGATCAGATATTATATAGAGAAATCATTTGTGTGTTAACAGTTCTGAATTTATCAGTAGATTTATATCCTGCCTTATAATTTTCAAGGCAGTCTTACTCACAATACAGTTGTACATCCCCCCCAAAAAGAATTAATAATAAATCAGCAATGAAATCAGAGGCCAAGATTCAAATAGATCTTTCTTTGTGCTCAAGGCATTTGTATACAGAATGCTATCCTTCACCTTCCATATATAATTTAGAGGAAACATGAGAGACTGTAATAGAAATGAAGGACTGGAACTACCCATTATGTTTTTCTGAGTAACAGCAAATATAATAACTACAACCACATAAAATGGGTTGATGTATGAAACAGCAACCAAGATACCATCTCACGTGGCCTTCTGGGAACAGTCAGCCATTAAATCAGCCTATTAAAATATATAAATACACAGCATATTCTTTGGCCCAAAGAATCTTACAAAAGCTCATGTAGGATTCTGCCTTCTCAAACACTATCCTAAAGGGAGCAGGAATGTAATTTTTGTCCCAATATGCCAGCCCCTCAAATCAACCTTCACAGCTTCAGCATGAGAATGAGTAAGATTTAATGTGTATTCTGCTAAATGCATTACTAGTTCTGTCTACAATCAAACATCTATTTTACCCCCATGCATGGGCAGATAAACTCAAATCATCATGGAAAAAGGCGTATGTTCCAGTCACTTACTCTTGCTCTTAAATATCCAAGATTTGACATGAATAATGGAAAGACATGATTCTGCAGCATCAACTCCATCTGATCCTTGAATACGCTTTTCTAATGGGGGTAATAACCAACACAAAAAGAAGTGCCTTTGTCTCCATTTTTACATATAGTAACTCTCATGTAATTCTTAAAATTAAACTGTTAGACTGGCTTCAAATTAATTTTTAAAAAATATCTTGGAATGATATCAGCAAAGAAAAAGACAGATGCCAAAATATAAAACTGAAACCGCTCATATAAAAGGACTTAAAATATCCTATTACTTGGGCTAACTAACACAATGCAGTGATAGTGTTTGCTGCTGCCATCAGCCCAACCAAGGGAGACTGCAGAGGCGCAAACTAGTTGATTGAATAAATATACATATTAGAACCCTACTTGGAACGAGTACTTGTAAAGGACTTGTACACATAAATATGGCTTTGCTATGACCAATCATTAAGGAGTCTAAAGGGATACACAATCACAACATAGCTCAAAGCTGAATTCCTTGTATAACAATTAGCCACAGGGGACTCTCAGTGTTGTATGGCTTTAGCATATGCAATGCAGATTATAAACCAAATATATAAGAAGCACTTAAAAGTGTCAAGTGATAGACATGGACATTCACTATTGCAACTGGTTCCTGTCTGGCAGGAGGTGGAGTAAGAAATGCATGCAATCAGTAAGAAAAACATCTTGCTGCAGGGAGTAGAATGCATTGTTCAACCAGTGGACAAACTTAACCTGCAATTTTTACAGAGGCCACAAGGCGTAACCAAAGCCTTCTTTGCTAAGTCCTGGATGTTAATGAATAGGCTCGGTTCTTGCCCAGCCTGACAACTACAGAATCAACTCTTTCTCTACAAAGACTTTTTAATCAGGGACACCGATATGCAACTGGGCTCTTTCATGAGGTTTTTAAGTATCAGGAAGCCCAGGTGTCAACATGTAAGACTACATCTCTAGAGATAAGACTATATGCATTTTACATAACTTCGTAGTTTTACCTTCAGCAAAATATCTGCTAGTGATCCAATCACATGTAATGCCCCATCTTTCTTTCTAGGGTCAATGTTGGGCTCAGTGAGGATCTGATAACAAAATGCCATCATTTTTGGTAACACCTAAACAAATAGCACATACACAGGAAAGTAGAAAAATGAAACCTCAAGCAAAATAATTAGGAAAGTCACCAACACTGAGATTAATTTAAACTAGATGACTGTTTTGGTAAAACACATTGTACAATATATATTTTAATTTACAACCTGTAACTCTGAAAGCCAGGTACTTTTTCAAGAAAAAATTATAAATTCTAGAGTTGCCTAGAATTTACACCAATGTTCAAATAAACTGATATCTGCCTTGGAAACACTTTGCTACATTTAAACAAGGCATTAAACCTCAGAGGAGGACAGGGGGAATCTATTAATATTTAAATACTGGAGTGGAGAGGAAACACTACTGTCCTTGTTGATTTAATTCTGTGATTGTTCAAAATGTTCCATGTATTTTCCCAGTTGTATTATCTTAATAAATTAAAAGAAGAAACAACTAACAAAACTGTTTTTGGATGTTAAAAAGAACTGCTGGCGTTTATGACAATGGAAATGTGAACCTGCAGTCCAATATCAGCACAAAAGTAAAATTCCTGAAAGATCTTAAGTCAGTCCTTAACTTAAAATGACTTAGTTACATACAAAGATAACATCCTAATCATAGGAATGGTTCAGGCTATGTACTCAACCCCAGAGATCCTAAAGTTAAAAATATATTTAATACATTTTTTACAACGGGAAGGATATGAATATAAGTGCAACAACTGCTGTTAAAGAATAGAGGAACAAATACTGTGTGACCTATTTAAAAAGCCATCACATTTTGATAAAATTATGAGACATACCTCTTTTCGCTTTTTTGCTGCAGTGTACAGAAGAATCTGTGCTGCTGTTGTAGGGGATGCATAATCCTCAAACACATCTTGAAAGGTTTGAAAAAGGGTGTTACTACATTGACAATTTAACAAATCATTCTAAAAGTGATGGAACATGGACAAGCTATATAGTAATTGATTTTTCTTTTTTCTTTAATATATAAAAAAGAGAGGGTAAAGGGGAACAAAAGAGAAAAATCAGCAAAAGAAAAATAAAGAACACCCCCCCCACACTGAATAAACCCATTAATTCTTAATATAGTGATAAGCCTCTATGTTTTTATATACAATATTAGAATGAAGTGAAAAACAGCTATGTGCAAACAGTGTGCCATTAACAGAAAAGGTAAGAACTACATTCAACTCTTGTTTAAGAAATCTGATGTCAAGATACGTTGGAATCAATTAACCGCAATAAAGTTTGATTCTTGCTTAAGTTTTTATTAGATTACCCTGAGTCCCGCTAAACAGGAATTTATAGTCAAGGTCAGTTTATAAAGAAGGAAAGGTGCATAAAACGATGTAGTGGTTCAACAAGCCCATTTCCTGCACAAAACCTGTTCATCTGAAGTTATAAACTCCTGTAAACTTTTCATATGTATATCACTGAAGTTTATAAATGAGAACTTCATAAAAGAAGTCTAAATCCTGACCAGCACTGGCCACACTGCCAAAGCCATTTTTCTACACAAATTTTCTACGAAATATTTTACTGCTTCAGCTTTCACCACCTGTTCATGGTATATCCTTCAACGGGAACGAACATTTTATCATTATAATATAGTAATCATTAATGGGGATGAACTGCTCAACTGGATCCCCTATCTTTTTACTGCTTCCTTATTTTGCTTTTGCCAACCTCCTTCCACCCTCCTCACACACTTTTCTCTACAATCATAGTTCACAAGAGTTATGGAAAACAGGAGCTTAGGAAAGGGGTGGACTGTGTAAGTAATCAGAAATACAGGCTCCTTGCAATGTGGTATGTCCTCCTGTCTTGTGCAAAGAAATAAGACTAAGCGTTGGCTGACCTAAATGCATAGCAAAGTGTATCATTACCAGGCATTCTTCAAGAGCAGGATACCAATGACAATTATGCACTGAACAACAAATTACCAAATTTCATGCGGATGTACTCATATGGGTCCTCCTGCCAGAGTTCCTCATCCTCATCTTTATAACACATCAGAGAAAAGATGACTTCTTCACACAAAGTCTAATAAGGAAAGCAAAAGGGAAATTAACTGTTCAAGTGATCAAATGTAATGGAATATATTTATTTGTTATCCTGCCTTTATTTCTGATCTACTCAAAGCAGTGCACATACCTAATGCTCCTTCTCTATTTTCCCCACAACCAGAACCCTGTGAGGTGGGCTGGGCTGAGAGGCAGCCACTGGCCCAAAATCACCCATGCCTAAGGGAGGACTAGAACTCATGATCTCCTGGTTTCTAGCCTAGCATCTTAGCCACTACAACAAACTGGTTCTCATTTACTGTATCTTAATAGTTAATAATCCACTTAGTTGTTCACTCCCAAAAAACCTTTTTCCTAAATCCTACAATATACAATATGATATATCATCTGGCAACCAGTGGAGATCCTCTTAAGGCCAGGAATATATTCCCCAGTCCAGAGTTGCCTTGCTTAAGTATTGGACACCTCAAATATTTTCTCCCAGCTGAGATATAATTAAAGGCTACATTTTTGTTCAGATTGAACAGGACTATAGTTGTTCACTCCCATAAGAGCTAGACCTAGACCAAAGATCTGTGGGGTGAGCTGCACCACATTCTTTGTGTTTTAGTTCATGGGAAAGCAAAGTGCATGTTACAGAGCCTTCAATTTTGGCCCAGTCCATCATAGGACCTTTGAGAAAATAACAGCTATATCAAATGAGATGCAAGAGAAACGCTTGTCTGCCAGAAACAAATCTAAAATTTTTCATTCTTGTTGGAGCACCCTTAACAGAGAGAAACAAGAAGAAACAAGCTGGTTTAAGGATATCAATTGCTATTGTTGGTTCTGTAGTAATTTCAATATGCACAATACTTCAGAAAAGATCTTTTATGCTTTAAATCTCATGTTATAAATGTCTAGCTCACCATTTATTCCCATTTTGCAGATATGAATTGAGATTTAAAGAGAATCACTAGCAACATATGCCAACCTAAATATAACACTGCCCTCAAAAGAATGCTTCTAAAATTATTTATGCCAAGAAGTATCATTTGGAAAGGATTTTAGGAAAGAGACAGCATAAAAATGAAAATATTAAGGCCATGCAGCACTTTGGAGTTGCACAAAAGATACTCTGAAGCACCGGGTAACACCTGTCTGCAACTCCTTAAAGCAAATGCTTCTTTTCCTGAGATTGTAGGCCCATCCTATGCTCTATAATTCCACTTAATGAAGTCAGGATTTAGGAATTAGTAGTTTTAAGACTTCAGAGGAATCTTTACATTGGATAGAGGAGTTTTAACAATGGGGAGGTGATGTTGATTATTACATCCCACTCCATCTTTCCTTCTACAGTGGATCCTTCAAACAAGGATGCCCTATGCTCTACATATGTAGAAACTGTAAGTGATTTGGAATGCTAAAGCCAAATTGACTGCCCACCTTTCCACACTGTGACTGAAACTGCAATAATAGTTCTAGCATGATTTGTACTATTTGTAGGAATTTGCATTGCAATTAATCATATCTCACCTTTTACATAACGAGGTGGGGAGTAAGAGGCAAAGGAAAAGATTTATTTGGTAACAGCCTTACATTTGATGCAATATCTTGTAAATTAAAACTTATTATTCCAGAAATTGATCTTATAGGCAGTGGGAGATAGAAATATAGACAAGTAAAACAACTGTATCATTAACTGGTTATCTCTGTCCAGTGACTGTGTTTCCATTAGAGTTATAATTCCCTCAATTGTTACTATTATTTCAAAATTACTCAAGTATTCAGGCACAAATTTCTGCTTTAACACTGACCTGCATATGTGGCTTCATTTGCTTCCAGGTTATACAGTGATGGACTCCCTGGTTCAGATAGTTTAATGTTTGTTGAAGGACACGTGGAGCTACATAGTCTTTCTGCCTGTATTGGTCCAAGATTTTTAGGAGTACCTAAGGGAATGTTGAAGGCACTGTGACATCACTGTATGCAATCAGAACTCAACATTAACCCAGTATGTTTAAAGTGTTGAAAAAAGAAACTGCACAATCATTTTAAGCAACAGACAAAGGCCAATATATTTATCACATTCTAGATTATTTTTTAGTTTTAGCTAACAAATTGATATGACAGGAGAAAGATCTGATTAAAAAAGTAAAGCTAGCAATCACATTTCCATAGAAAATGTACCCTGGAGTTTCTTAGACTTCTAAGGATGGTATTGCTTCATTAAAGATTTCCTGAATGTACCACTCAGGATAACTGGAAATCTTTTGGGGAAGATTCCTGTAATAATATACAACCTATTTGATTAGGATCATCAGCTGAAAGCTGTGGGCCAAATCCAGTCCTCCAAACAGCCAACTAAATGATAACTCAGAGATGAGAGCTACAAACAGTGGCTTCTACAATAGAACTTTCTGATTAAGTGAGATTTCAATAAAATTAGGGGCTTTTAATGGGATCTAAATACTAAACCTTAGGTGGTTTCTGCTAAGAAAATACAAGCCATCTCATTATCCAAAACAACTTATAAATAGTTTTATAAGATATGATCAATCATCTCCTGTATCTCTCATCCAAGGTTGCTGAATTATAAACATTACTCTTTCACATAAGAATAAATGTCTTCAGTGGATGCTACAAAAGGACAATTTAAAATGTCTTACAAAATAAGACAGGCCTTTACCTGCTGGATTCCCACAGCATAAGTTTTCAAGAAGAACTCAGAAAATTCAAAATATTCTTTTGTTACATTTCCAGGACTACCATACCTTTAAAAATTTTAAAGCAAAAGAACATAAATATGTTAGTTTATACAAAGCTACTAAAGTACACTGCATTATCATTAAGTATCCAATTAGTTCCCATTCAGAGAGTTAAAGGCAGTCTGTTAAATTTATGACAAAAGGGATGCACAAACCCCATTAAAAACTGCCACATTCTTAAAGCTGATGGGCCAATTTTTAGGAAGATTTGCTGATACTTGGACTTGGGGCAAATTTATAAAAAAACATTTAAGATCTGGAAGCATTATAAACGTGTTAATCAAAGAGTGCCAAAACACGATTTAGAAATTTTGTTTTTTGTTATCAGTATAATAACCTTTCAAAAAGACGAGCAACAATCCGCAGAGCCCACTTCTTACATTTCCACCACACCAACTCTGGCCGATCATCTTCATCAATTTGCAGAGTTTCCTAACCAAAGGAAAAAACTATCAGCCATCAACAGCCATGAGTGAGCAGTTAACATTAATGGAGCATGGTAAGAAGAATCTATAGCCTCCAGACACAACTTTGAAAGAGACTTTCAAACAGTTGTGCTGACAATGACCTAGTGATAATACAGTCCTATGTTAGCATATCCTCAAGGTGGCATGCCATTCATATAAAAGTGGAGCACATGTTTTAAACCCAATCTGTCAGAGGTCAGTAGCAACAACTTTCTCTAGAGCTGCAGGAAGCCATCCAGTGCTGGAATGATGCCACCAGAAGGCATGGGGTCAAATTGGAGGGGCTTGTTTTTTGAGTGTTTAGAATGGGAATGGTAAGCCAACTGTTCACACACCCACTCTCAATCCTCCAAACCCACTCCAAAACTATCCCAAATCAAGCAGATGACAACTGGCCATTTTGCTGCCAAATATCAGCAGCACAATCTGGAGGTGCTCAAAGGGTCATATGAGGCTTGTGGGTTGCCCACCTCTGCTTTCAGTCAACAAAATAAGCTCTCATATGGGTAATGTAAAAGCTATATTCCCATCTACCACCAGCTGGGACCTGCTCCCAGCATGGGAGCCAGAGAAAGCATGGTCAAAGAGGAAGGCGGTTGTATATGATCCAGGCACTGTGGTAATGAGTAAATTGCTCAGAACCACAATTTAACATACCTAGATATCAACCTGTTTCACTTTTCATACATGACATTCTTGTTGAGCCAAAAGCAAGGGAGTGGGAGCAATTGCTCCACTTCTTCTTTATGCCTTCTTTTAAAGTACTAGAATACAGCGAAAGCAGGGCAGGCCCTCTATACAGTTGGGGAAAAAAGCTTCTCAAGCTAAATACCCCTTTTTCCAATGCACCCAAAGGATATTAAAGTTGTCCAGTAATGTAAACCTTACAGGAGGCACACTTCTGTCAATGACAGTCCGGAAAATCTCCATCCACTGAGTCATGGTTTGATTATTCACCAGCTGAAGTGGCAAAGCGTACTGAAGTTAAAAGAGGAGGAAAAAGATAATGTCAATATTGTTGAATACCTGACAGAAATTAAAGAAAATCATTAGACAATTTATTAACAGGAAGCTTCAATGCTTTTTTTTACCTCCAGTGACCATGGACTACCTTCCTTGCTGTCCTTGGAGCCTATGTAATATGATAGCCAACTAGTTATCCATTGGGAGCAGCCAGCTACCATCTCAATCTTTTGTTTTAAATGACAGTGAGCTAATAATTACATACTCAGCAATAAGGGGAAAAAAAGAGGATTGTTATTGTGGAACAACTCCTTGACCCCAGGACATTCTTTTGCTCTCAGTTAATCAGAGCAGGAGCTGCTCTCCTATGGAATGCCCTCCCACCAAATCTAAGAACAACAGCCTCAAAATTGAGGAAGCTTTTAAAAATGTGATTTTTAAAATGTGTGTTTGGGGAATGAGGCAAGGATGAAAAATATACCTTGATCTAATAATAAAAAATATTTATTACTGTTATTATTCAGTTTTGCTAAATGTTGATTTATTGTTACCTATGATATGTAGTCTGTGTTGTGCTATAAGCCTCTTAGAATCGTACAATTAAAGTAACATAAAAGCATTTGTAATAAATACATAAATTTTATGATGCTTATCATTTAGCTAAGTCGAACAGGATAACACCTTTGTACCACACATCCAAAATTTTCTTTCAGACCGATGCGCCACAATAAAAAATGAAGTTGCAACAATCCCCACAAAGTGAAAGTTCAGTCCAGAAATAACATGAATATTCTATCATGTCATACAAACAACATTCAAGACTGGAAGCAGCACACAGGACTCTTGGAACCATTTCTTGATAGTTTTGCTTACTGTTTTTATTTTGTTTTTAATTGTTAGCTGCCCAGAGTCACATATTTGAGATGGAGGGGCATATAAATTTAATAAGTATAAATAAATAAACAAGCCTCTCTCCAGGAAGCTCATGAAAATGTTCTAGAGCAACAATTTTATGTGATCTGCTGCCTCTGATTCGCACAATACCCCAGCTTCACTAAAAGTAACAATATGGACTCTCTGACACATTCTGCCCACCCTGTCCTTTGTTCCAAACCAAACCCCACATTCACACTTGCATAGTTCCTACAGATTCTCTTGGGTACATAGATCAGGACTAAAAGAGTATTGATCCAAAAACAGAAAGGAATATCTATTTTTCTACAGGTTACAGAAAGAAAATGTTTTCGTTAGACTCCGCTAGCAAATACCACTCAACAGAGTACCCTTTTCTTCTGATGGAGAAACAGGGAAATGCTTAGGCATATGACAGCAAAATTAAATATAAATAGCAAAGGAATATTTATAAGATACAGTCTCATCATCGAATTTCTTTATTAAATGTTGGAGGCCTACAAATTAAACACACAGGCTTGAAAGTAGCTGCCCTGAAATCAATAAAGGCATACTTCAAAATATACATTTGTGGGTCATAATTCTAAAAAAGGATTTTCTTTTTTGGGAATTCATACTGTTATTGCTTTCAGTATACAGGCTCATACCTGAACAAGTGCATAGAAAATTTTTAAGATCTGTTTCTGAAGGAGCACAGAATAATGGGAATTGTCAGGAAGAAGTTGGATCATCTGCTGCTGAATCCGAGGCAAGAATATTTGCATTGCAGCAATGAGAGGATCTCGTTCCTCAGCTTTCTTATATCTGTGGGGGAAAAATCAGACCCAAACACATTTAGGGAACAAAGTTAACTCTTGTCCCTATGCTTCATTTTGTTAAAAAAATGAACTGGTGCCCTTTAGAATCATTATTTCATCTCTGCAGCAGAATGCAACAAATCCAAACAGAGCAAAAAGGAGAAGCTACGTTAATTTCCCTAGTGCAGCACTAGAGCTAATTTTATCCATTTTTCTAACACACCAGATCAGAGGCATTTTGGAGCATAGCCTCACAGTAAATAAAAGATACAGAATCTTACAACTGAGTCACCCATTTCACCTGATCTCTCATTATTTGGATGATCAAGCTTTCCTACACTTACCTGGAGAAAATCCAACGTAGGCAGAAATGGGAAAATGTGTATTTCCAAGAATACGTTTCTCATTCTTATCTTACTTTACTTCATGTGAGGAATTTTTTCCAGCTCAAATGCTTTCCTCTGCATGAACAATACCCTCCAGTCCCCACCCATATATCTTTACAGAATCAGGAAGCTAGTTTTGCAAGAAACAAGGCAAGTAAAAGGAAGATGCACTCATGAACCTGGAGGTTATTTCTGGACTCAGTCACCTTCTGTGGCTGCTAGGAAAGATACCTTCCTTGATAAAGATCCACTTACTCATAGGTTTTTACCAGTTGGTACAGGCACAGGAGACTTCCAAGCCAGCTTCCACTATTGGAAGACTGCAAGTAAAACCCAATCTTGTCCACCACTGCAGTCCAGTGACCTGGGAAGTCATGCTTAATAATAGCACGGAGGCACATTGTCAGCTGAGCTCTGAAAAAAAAAAAAGATTGGGAAAGGAGGGAGTGAAGAAAAAATAGAAAGAGGGTCTGATAAAGGACTTGCTTCATCAACTCCTGAATTATATCAGAAACCAGGTATGAACTTTTTGTCTAATAACAGCTGTCAGCAAATTCTTCTGAAAAAGAAATATCAGAATGCTTTTAAAGGATAGGCCAAAGAAAGTTCAACATAGGATGTAACTGTACAGAAAGCATCACTACTTTCTTCTCTCTGCTCCCACACTTATCAAATAACAGATAATATCTTCAAATTAATGATCACCAGATACAAAAATCAAGATGTAAAACTATAAATGGCCTTGGAAATAAAGACAGTAAGGTCTGCCAGCTTTAGACCATTTTCTCACTTAGATAATCCAGAAACAGATAAACCTTTCCAAACCTAGTATGCTCCATGCTTCACTGGAGGTTTCAAACATAGATAGTCATCTATCGGAGATGGTGTAATGAATCCTGCAGGGTGCCGGGGGTTGGACTTGATGACCTCTTAGGTTCCTTCCAACTCCGATTTTACAATATGTGCTGGACATATGATTCTAAAATTCTATGGCTACAAGTCTCTTAATGCCCAGCCAATAAGAGGGCCATAAACTTGCACTATTCTGCACCAGACAATGGTGAACATCTTTATCCAGACTTTGGATGATATCCAACAAAAGCAGCCAAATCAGATAGCCCATTTCCAGATTCTACGTATGATATCAGCCATACTATGTAATCATTGAATGTTCGTGGGGATTATATTTGTTTATTTACTCAATTTTGATGCTCCCCCTGACTTTGATGCCAGGAATTCTCTGGCATGCAGAATAAGGTGAACTCTTGCTTGCAATATTTTGTAGAATAAGGTATTTTAAAAGTTCTATTCTCCTATCTTCATCTGGAAAACAATTCTGCCATGATGTCATAAAAGACATGAGGCATATTTTAAGAACTATAATTATACTCTTCCCTTTTTCCATCCCTGCAGTTCTCTATGTAGACTTCTACAGAAAATATTACAATTATCTCATTTAGAAACAGTTCTTGAATAAGATGCCACTTCTGAATGTTATCAGAAATGACTTGTTTGATTCACTATTCGTTGCTTTTATAATCTGATACCACTTCAAAATACTATTTTTCAAAGCAAAACTATGCTGAATAAAAATCTATCAAAGTATTTAAATCTGCCCAATTTATTCTAAGTAGAAGCATCTGCTTTTCTTAGTGTAACATTCAGGACTTTCAGGTACATGTCCCAGCCTGAACTCTGACATACCTCACTAAGTCTGGAGAACGAATAATTCCTTCTACAATATTATCCCGAATCTGCTGACGATCATTTTCATGAATATTGAATGGAAATATCACTTCTCCAGGTGGAGGCTCCCGGTCTGGCCAGTACTGTGTTACCATGTTCTTCAAGTAAATAGCAGCTGTATTTGAAGAACAAGAGAGAGGGAGAGAGGGAGAGGTGCATAAAAAGGGCTGTTTATAAACCTAACTTTAAAACATAAGTTAGGGCCATCTGTAAGGGGAATAACAATTCAAGAACCAGGGAGCATGCAAGAAACTAAGAACTTAAGTCCTGGTAGTGAAATCCCAAAGATGTACGTGATATTTAGAGATAGCTCAATACATAAAGTTCAGATCTACCAGTAGCTGTTAGCAATAATAACCAAGAATGGCATTTCCATTTTCAGAAAATTCATATCCCTAAATACAAAATATCAACCAAAAACAACCAGAAATAGTTTCCTCTAAAATGCCTGCTTTTTGAGCTTCCTCTAGATTGATCTCATAGGCAATTTACCTGTTCATTAATGAAATCTAGCTAAGACCAGAAGCCAGCAAGATAAAAATATAAAAAAGAGGGATATTCCATCTCTGACTTTGGACAGGGTTGTACTTCCCCATTCAAGGGTAGGGCAGAATCTGGGTGTCTTCATGGATTTACAGCTCCTGCTTGCTGAGCAGGTGACTGCTGTGGCCAGGAAGGCCTTTGCACAACTTCATCTGGCACACCCTTTCCTGAATTGGGAGCCCCTTCAGACAATCATTCATGCCCTAGTCAGCTCAAGGCTCAACTACATGGGGCTGTCCTTGAAGACCACTTGGAAACTTCAGCTGGTCCAGAATGCAGCGGTGTAGGCAGTATGGGCATGCCCTGCTTTGTCTATATGACACCACTGCTCCATGAGCTTCACTGGTTGCCAGTTTGCTTCCATGTGCTATTCAAGATGTTGATTAACACGCATAAAGCTCTACATTCATTGAGCATTGTTATCTGAGGGACTGGCTATCTCCTATAGCATTAGCCTGGCTGATTCAAGCTGACAGGCTTGGTGTGCTCTGAGTGCCTTTGATAAAATGTCAACTATCAGGACCCAGGAAATGTGCTTTCTCTGTTGCGCAGGAATGAGGTTCCCCTTGAGATCCAGATGGCTCCCACACTGTTGGCCTTCCAGAGGGCCATAAAGACCTAGCTGTTTTCCCAGCCCTTGGGCTAGGGTGGTTGAAGCCCCCTCCTCTGTTAGATGCTGGTGGGATGTTTGGGGGTTTCTGCTGGTTTCACTATCTTGCTCTTTTCTTCTTTTTCTGCTTTTCTAGTTTGTTGTTTCTTATTATATTGTTTTTATATTGTTTGGTACATTGTGAGCTGCCCAGAGTCATTTGAAGTCAGGCAGTATTAAACTGAATTAAATAAATAAAAAATATATAATTTGAATTTGTAACCACTCAATTCTAAACATAATAAATAGGAGCAAGCTGCAGAACTTCACCCACCTGCTTGCCGGACTGGGAATTCCACTTGATCAGAAACAATGATTTGTAGCAGACTAGGAGCAAAGTTTATTATCTTGTAGGACTGAAAGGGATATAAAAAGTTAATCAGCAAAGTACCACTTAAAGATAGCAGTATTAAGCACTCTTAGGTATTAGTTATTAAAGGAGAGTAAAGCACCACTCTCCTATTGAAAAGTAGTTGAATTAGACTCAACAAAGACTGTTTGGTTCTAAAATCAGGAAGCAATTCTCTTATCTTTTGCTGTGGAGGTCTCCAAAGCAGCTCAGGAATTTACTGTCCATTCTGTTAGTAACCACAACACTCCTAATAGTAACATATTCACTTGAAATTCTTTAACTTCCTGTTTTCATCTTATACAACAGGAATGAACAACCATGGACCTACCTGTAGCCCCCAAGCACCCCAAGATAGTGCCAGTGAAATTCAGCAGAAAATTGGTTTAATTTTGGAGGCACATGTGTGGTAGTGGTTCACTAATAAAGACATGAGCAAGAGAGGGAGGTCACTGAGAAGCAAACTATTATAATTCCCACTCTTAAAATCCCCACTGATCCCCCATTTCCAGTCCAATTTTGGCTCATTTTAAGGGTAGAGTTAGGAATGGTTGTCAGATCTTCTGGAAAGCTGGACACAGCTGTCTCAGGGCTGCATGCACAGCTGCTTCACTTTGCTGGCTGGCCCACCAGAAGTGCTTTCTACAACCAAGTGCAGATAATTTGGGAAACCATGGAAGCAACTACTTTGAGCCAAATGCATTTTGCAAAGTCCCCCTTCAAAGGTTCTACTTTGCTGGTCACAAGAGGCCACTTTTGGAATGCATACAACCCATAGAAAGGGGCACGAGGGAGTTGTAAACTGAAAACTGCTATGGATTTAAAGTTTGTGTATCTTCATTGTTCTACTTTATACAGTATGTGATTTTGTATATGTAAGGATTAACGTGAAGCTCTATACTGAATATTTTGTATTGTTTTTTAATTAAGCTCTATGCTGACTTTATGTATTTGGGGAAAATATCTTAAACCACTGGAGAAGATCTTGGCTCAGTCAAAGACATCAATAGAAGTTCCAGATTGCCACTGCTCAGTAAATATACTTTCTAACGTTGCAAAAATCAGTCCATTAGATTTTTGCAAGTTCAAGTTAAGTCCACATTTTCTAAATGAAAATAAATGTAGGATATTAAATGTAGAACTGTGGGATATTAAAACCCTTTGTCAATCTGAGAATTTCTTATGTTTTAGGGGCCTCCTTCTTCCCAATCAGTAGCAAATTCAATAGGCCATCCAGTTTTAATTGTATTATTTTTCTT